AATTGAAATGTCGCGAAGGCTCTGGTTCAACGGGGCGATTCTTTGATTAAGCCGCGCCAATCACAAAACATAATTAGTGGTTTTAGTACAGATTCTGTACTAAAACCACTAATTCTGTTTTGTGATTGGCGCGGCTTAATCAAAGAATCGCCCCGTTGAACCAGAGCCTTCGCGACATTTCAATTTATTATTTACTGTCGAAGGCTCTGGAATCTAGGGTACACAACTGCTGTCACAGAATAAATAATAGAACAGAATGCAGGGGCGTAGGAAGCACCTGGAGTTTGGGGGGGCACCGGCTTGTAGGGGCACATTACTATCGGAAAGGGCACCTAAAAAATTTTTCCCGGAAATGTTGTCGACGGGGGGGAGAGAAATTTCTCCTGAGGAAAATTTTCCGTCGTATCATACCGAAATTTATGTTTGTGACCTAATTTTTAAAAAAAATTTGTAAATTTCCACACAAAAACGGCACCTATTGTTTTAATTTAGTATTTACAGCGACATTAGCTTCTACAAAAGGGGCACTTTTCCTCACACAAAAGGGCACTTTTCAACACAAAAAGGGCACTTTTTATCACAAAAAAGGGCACTTTTAGTCCTTTAAAAAAATTTGGGGGGGCACGTGCCCCCCGTGCCCCCCCGCTTCCTACGCCCCTGCAACCAAATACACCATGACACAACCTGTTATTCAAAAATTCAATGAGAACAGTTGCAGGACAATGCCTGCAAAGATGTACATCCAAATTACAAGCTTCTGGCCCAAGCTGTCCAGCTGAATCGACGGAATCCTGCTGATCACCACTCACCCTGTGCTGATTGCGGGCTAGGGACCCGGGGCCCGGGCCCAATCATTGCAGCGTCATATTTGCATTTTGCACAATTGCAACCAAAAAGTACAAGTGAGAAAGAAAAACATGGAAAAAACATAGTTTCAGTGGTGGAAAGCGTTTTACTGATTTTGTTTTGCTGAGATGTTTTATTGATTTTCAGACCACTTTGGATGACCGCAGCAATTTAGTAATTTTTTCTACGTTTTGGTAATTTTTTGCATGCTTATTTAGTAATTGCCTTGCAAAATATCTGGTCACACTGGCCTAGAAGGCCTAGTGGATTTCCCAACAACAAGGCCAAAACTGCCCTGAAACTGCCCTGGTTGCGAAATGCCCAATTATTGCGTTCTCAAACAGAATTATTTGCAACTTAACGGCGAATTTAAACCGATACAGGTAAAATAAACTCATTTATAGTATAAACTTACTATTTTTATTTGTATACACGTCTAGAAAATCGGGTTTTTTATCATAAAGTTCGAAGCAACACTATTATATTTTAATATGTTGACAAGGTGTAGCGAAAGCACAAAATGAGTCAAAATATATACCAAAAGTAGAATCTTTCATGAAATTTAGTCTTATACACAACTACATTAATATATATTTTCTCAATTTTGGCAAGAAGCAGTCTTGTGTTTGTAAAATATACAAACACATATACAATTATATATAAATTTATTAAATAAAACGGATACATATATTATTAGCCCGTACAGTACTGTATATAAAAACGTACATTGTTTACAAATGATATATCCGTAATATTTGAACAATAATTTCAAAATCCTCATTCCCAATTCGCAAATATAGTTATTCAAAGCAAAACAGTAGATTGTCTTGCGAAGAAAAGAATTATTATTTTGTGCTTTCGCTTCATCTTGTCAACATAATAATAGTGTTGCTTCGAACTTTATGATAAAAAACCCGATTTTCTAGACGTGTATACAAATAAAAATAGTAAGTTTGTACTATAAATGAGTTTATTATACATTTAATATGTATTCTCGTTTCTAATTGGTCAGAAAGCACCGGCTAATTTTCAGTATTCGGCATTTATTACGTATTTTCCGCCGATGACGTCATCAGCGTCCAATAATTGTTTTTTTGGATCGAACTTGCATCCAAAAAAAAAATTATTGGACTCTCTCGTACCCAAACCCTTGCGCGGCCAAAAGCTTGAACCTATAAGCGCGCGAAAAACTTAAACAAACAATGGCCTACAGCAGATTTGCTTCGCTGAATGAAAGTGAACTCTCCAAATTATTGGCAGATAAGGATAGTGAAAGCACGAAAAAAGCCACAAAGGGGTAAATAGAAGTAGAAATAGAATATTTAGCTGACCTTTGACTTTGTGCAAGGTGTTTGATATTCAAATTGTACTTTTCCTACCTCATGAACGGGAATCGTTTTATATGTTTCTCATGTCTTTAAATGTATAATAAAACAATTATTGGATTCGGCTTTCGCATGATATCAAGAATTATTCAGACCTCGGTCTATGTTATCCGCCTCAGCTTAGCTTCGGCAGATAACATTGACCTCGGTCTGAATAATTCTTGATATCATGCTCAGCCTCATCCAATAATTGCTTATTATTTTACCTGTATCGGTTTAAATTCGCTGTTAAGTTGCAAATAATTCTGTTTGAGAACGCAATAATTGGGCATTTCGCAACCAGGGCAGTTTCAAGGCAGTTTTGGCCTTGTTGTTGGGAAATCCACTAGGCCATCTATTTTTCCGCTTGCGTCAGGCTTGTGTCCTTCCTCCGCCCCGCCACAGAGTAGATAAGACATACAGAGACGTAACTGACCGTTGTAAACACTGCGGAAGATTACGTTATCATGTACCCACTTTTTTTGAGGCGACCGGGCGAAAAATGATCAACTGCGCGTGCTCAGCAAGTTTAAAGTGAGTCGTCATCAGGTCGTCGTCCAATCAGATGCATGCATCTAGTAACTTGCCGAGCATGCGCACAAAAAAAGTGGGTACACTAGTTACGTCTCTGTATGTCTCTACTCTGTGGCCCCGCCCCCAAATCACCTGGTCCCAGTCTTTTCATGTGAAAAAGCGCTGAATCTTACTGTCGTTCCAATTGAAGTGTTCCTCAAATATTGATTCAATACATTACCTCAGGCTGACCAATTCATTTGATCAAGTTCCTCGAGATATTCATACACTTCCTGTGAAAGAGCCAATTCCAAGTATTTGATCATTTCTGGTCACTTCCTTTCTATTTATGATTGGTTAGTTGCACAAACAACAAAGGTGATTGGTGCATTCAAACTATTCAACAGGAAGTTTACAATTATACTAGGAAGTGTATGAATATTTCGAGGAACTTGATCAAATGAATTGGTCAGCCCGAGGTAATGTATTGAATCAACATTTGAGGAACACTTCAATTGGAATGACAGTAAAAAAATATAAATAAAAATAGAAGGCCTAGGTCTAGGCTGCCCCCTCTAGTGTTATTTATAATCTCTATGACTACGATGACGACTGCAGTCGCCAATCGCCATTTTGAAAAATATTGCATCATTTATTAAAAAACAATCCGTCAAAATGCTGTTTATTAGTCGTATGTAGAAAATTTACTCGTCTATAGTCGTCTGTTCCTCATCTGTAGTCGTCTGTTACTCGTCTGTTACCGTCTGTTACTCGTCTATTACCGTCTGTTACTCGTCTGTACTCGTCTCAGTCGTCTGTTACTCGGATGTAGTTTTAAAATAGATCGCTTTTGTTTAAGTTTACTTCTAAATTATAAGTACCCAAACATTTATATATTTATCAAAACTTTTATGAAATGAACGGATTTGTGAGATTGAGAGACGTTTCAAAATTGTCTAGGTATGATTGCGCGACATCTAAGTTGATTTGTAAAATTCATGAATAATTAATAAGGCCTAGCTACAAACAAATCACGACGCGATATTTTGGTCACATGTGCATTCTTGTAAACCCCATTAAAGATCGGAAAGTCGATCATATTAGATGCATGTTTGTGAAAGTTATGAATACTAATTGAGAAGTCATTTTTTTATATTGGCTGTGTACTTTTTAATAATTTTGAGCGTAACTGTGATGTTATATAATTTTTAGTCATGTACATATCAGTATATCGTAGATAATTTTTAATGTAATTTTTAAACTTTATACTATGTCTATGAGAACGAACTATTTTACTTGTAATTTTATTCCGGGCTCCTGTTGATAACAGTGCTCACTGTAGCACTGAAAGGATTACCTTGAGAAAACAGAGATCTTCATTCATTCATTCATACCCATAAAGATCAGCTGCTCGTATTTTAACCAGTACTTAAAGATTTATTAGTAGCCACTACAATACTGTAATTGAGTAAGCTTTCTATTTGCGTCGTACGGTACATAGGAATAGTGACAACACAATTCACAATTCATATTTTGTTGGGTATGTATTTCCCCAAACTAGAAATCCGTATCACGTATGTGAGGTATGGATATAGACCAATGCATAATAAATCAATTTCCAAGTGTTTTTGTTCGTAAAATGTCTTAGTTTATAGCAATCAGACCCGCAGATTTAATTATGTTTTTCAGAACTGAGCTGATGTGGTTGTCAACTCTTGATCAATTAACAACTGTATCGCTTGTGGATAATGGGTGCCTGGGTCATCCAGGGGCTTCCACTTCCAAAGCCAGCCCCCAGACAAACATACCACTCTCATGGCTTGCAGTTCCCTGCAACCCAGCCATGGGCCCCCACACCAGGCCCAAGCACCTGTCACACTGACTGGGTCAGTGGAAAAAAATAAAAAAAATAATAATAAAAACCCCCCAAAAAACCCGAACTTTCCGATAATAAGCACCCAAGCCTAGAAGGATTTCCGAACAATGCGTGCCTGTTGTTTGCGCATGCTCAAACCCTAACAGCTGCTGACCTACTATCGCCATGCGCATGCTGGTATGTCAGAAATCACTGACCATACTAACTAACACACTAACTGCGCTCTTTGTTGTTAACTTAGTTAAATTGCATTTAACTGCATTTAATACATCTAGGAACTTTACATAAGGTACTTGTTCAACTATATCATTATTTATTTTTACTATAATTTCTTGATCCTGTGACTTATTTTTAGTTTAAAAATGTTGTTTTGGATGCATTGCATGATTGATAATTTATTGGTGTTAAGTCATTGCTCTACTTCATTCATTTCATAATTTGTATAGTAGCCTACTAGCTAAAGTTTTTAAGCACGAATTTGAATAAAAGGCATTTGTATTATCGGCATATAATTAAGACAAAAGAAAGAATTTTACAGCAGTTTTCAATGTCATTAAATTAACATTAATGTATATTAGAGATAGAAGTGGTTCAAGAAATAAGTGTATATATATAGTTAGTATATATAATGAGTATATATATTGAGTAACTACATGTACTAGGCTACAATACCTATGCATGATTTCGGTTTGTGGAAACACCTTCACACTGATTCCACTACAACTGGCGCTACCTAGCTTTGATTGGGTTCATACACATTTGATTGGCAATGGGATCTATTAAATTAAACGCATCTGATTGATTAATGGCAAAACCTGTTTCCACAGACCAAAAATATGTATTATATTTTCACCATGCAAACCTACAAATAACTTATTACTAGCGAATTGCAACTGTGTAATTACCTAAGTAAACACTACTTAGGGACGGACCATTAGAAAAGTGATGGGGGGGTGGGGTAAATTTTTTTTGTTTGCATTTTTTTTCCAGGTTGTCAGCTGTGTATGCATGTTTTTTTTAAATATGTCTTCTCGCATGCAATTTTTTTTCCAATACAACTATACAAATGTTAACGAAACTGTTCTCTTGA